CGCTAACTGCAAGCTTAGAATGAAAAAAGAAACGGAGAGAATCATTTGGAAAAGATGGTAACATGTAACAAGAGATAGTCAACTCCTGTTTTCTTCCACAGAGAAAGATCCAAACTGAAAGGGTAGGACAAACTAACTAGGAACGATACACCATCTATTACAGAAGGAGGATATTCTTTACAGAGTTCTTACAGATCAATAAGAAACGCAATAGGTACTTGTTCGGGCTTTGTGTATATGTACTCGTTATTTGTCAGACGCCCATATTGTGCAGACGAGGAATGAAGGCTTAGGATCACGACTTACTCTGTCATGTCGCTACACAGTGGTGAGGTTAGACTGAACCAGGCAGTAGGAATCCAGAACCCTTCTGTATCTCTACACTGTCTCCCCATTAGGAAGTCACAACAGAAAATAAAGGTTTCTTAAATAGGCAAAACACAAAAGAATAAATTCAATGCACACTAAGTGTTCAGCCTTGCTGGAATTAAAAGCGCTATATTGAAGCAAGAGTTGAGATGTCCCTCACGCAACTAACAATTCAGGGAAACTGGGATGCTAATGTTGCAATTGGGATGTGAGTAGATACTGCCTCTGGCAATGAAACCAGAAGCCTTAAGCATTGCCTTTTGACTTTCACATTCTACCTATAAATTATGCTTCCGAAACCAGCAGGGATGTATACAGTCTTAAAAGTGATGTTGATATAAATGACAAAGCATTAATATGTAAAAATAAAAGACAATTATGTACAGCATGATTCCATGTAAAAATATATTTATGCATTAAATACTGGAAATAAATCTTAAAGTGCTATATTGGTTCTGAGTGATGACATAGATTATTTCATTTTCTCTTACACTTTTCTGTGTCTTCCAAATTTTCTTGCAATAAATATTTAAAACTCTAAAATTAGAGAGAAAGGGTATGAAAGGGAGTGACAGCCCAGGGTAGTAGAGAAGTATTAAGAAAAGCACATACTCTCCACAGCATCTCTTCCAAGTCCTAGGAGATTAGCTAACTTGTTAACTCGGATTGTGACTTCCTTGTTGGTAAATGACAATGGTAGACATACCCATCTCACACTAATACATACACAATGTCTTCTACAAATTATGAGTCTGCGAATGTGGACTATCTGCATGAAGGAGATTTAAGGTGAGAGAAGGAACAGCCTTGAAGCAGAGACCTCTGTTCTTGCTGGTTCTTTTCAATTCATTCTGCAGCTGTAAGCAAGTCACCTGACAGTCTGGCCCAGGGGTCCTCAAACTACGCCCGCGGGGCCACATGCAAATACAAATATTGTATTTGTTCCCGTTTTGTTTTTTCACTTCAAAATAAGATATGTTCAGTGTGCATAGTAATTTGTTCATAGTTTTTTTCTTTAAACTATAGTCCGGCCCCACAATGGTCTGAGCGACAGTGAACTGCCCCCTGTTTAAAAAGTTTGAGGACCCCTGGTCTGGACCCTCAGTTTAAAGGAGCTGAAGTAGGTGAGCTCTTACAGTTAGAGCTTCAACATTCTACGTGTATATGAAGGGGAGGGGAGGGCACCAATATAAGCTAGATGTCAAAGGTAATTGGTTTTTCCTTCACCAGCTGGATGGAAAGTAATTCATGTCTTTCCCTTTTGCTCAGGCCTTGTTTCTTTTGGGATAGAGGCAGTCCAGAGGGGAACAATGTTTACCTTAAATGGATCTTGCACAACAGATCCATAGATTTGATTTTATTTTTATTGATTTCAGAGAGGAAGGAAGAGGGAGAGAAAAAAAACATCAATGATGAGACAGAATCATCGATTGGCTGTCTCCTGCACACCCCTTACTGAGGGCCAAGCTTGCAACCCAAGCGTGTGCCCTTGGCTGGAATTGAGCCCGGGACCCTTTAGTCCATAGGCCGACGCTCTATCCACTGAGCCAAACCAGCTAGGTCCAGATTCACAGATTTTAAAAGATAATGTGCAGCCTGGCTGGTTAAGCATCGACCCATGAACCAGGAGGTCACGGTTTGATACCCGGTCAGGGCACACGCCCAGGATATGGCTCAGATCCCCAGTAGGGGGCGTGTAGGAAGCAACCAATCTGATTCTCATCATTGACGTTTCTATCTCTCCCTCTCCCTTCCTCTCTGAAATAAAAAGGTTTTAAAAACTAAACAAGATAAAGATAATGTGCAATTTAGACAAGGTGCTTAATATCAGTTTCCTACCTCTTCTCCCTCATTTCCAGAGGCTTCAATTAACACTGTCCAGCTGAGAGGATAGAAATTAAGCGAATCTGACCTTGGTCTCTCCAAGCAGCCCTATGAACTCCTTTGCTTCTCTTGCCCATAAAGTGAATCCTCAGACCACAGGGGGTTGCCAGGTAGATTGACCTCCATGCAGAAGACCTGACCAGGAGAGCATTTCTGCAAAATCAAGAGGAAAGGTGAGCTCTGTGGGCAGACCCCACTTATGCCCATCCACCTCCTGCTTTTGATGGGCCAGAACCTGACATTGCTACTCACACTGTCACTGGCAGCTGACTTATTGGCTGGTCACAAATCTAAAAGGTCATGGGCTCTTTTTCTTTACAAGTATGGATCTACTGAGAGAGGAGGGGAAGGCCATGGCAATTGCTCTGACTCTTGCTCTCACAGGTGGGCACAGATGTGTGTGTGTGTTTCAAGAGGCTACTTGTGGCCCAGCTGGCGTTGCTCAGTGGTTGAGCAGTAGCCTATGAACCAGGAGGTCACAGTTCATTTCCGGTTGGGGCATATGCCTGGGTTGCGGGCTCAATCCCCAGTGTGGGGCGTGCAGGAGGCAGCCGATGAATTGTTCTCTCTCATATTTGATGTTTCTATCTCCCTCTCCCTTCCTCTCTGAAATCAATAAAAAAATATATTTTTAAAAAGAGGCTACTTGTTCTCACTCCTATGGTCTTTCAACCACAGTGAAGCCCCAAGTGTACCTAGTGAACTGCTGCCCCAGGGACTAGCTGCCAGTTTCCAGACACTTTCTGGCCCAGGGAATAAAAGCAACGAACACCAATTCCCTGACCTCTTCCCACAACTCCCCCCATCCTCCAGCACATCTCCAATCATATTCTCGTGCTCCTTACTCCTGAGGGAGTAATTTCAAAGCAAAACTTAAAACTCACCTTTTATTACAATACATCTTGCATTACATTCTAGTGCTAAACAGTTGAAGTATAAAATGTTAAAAATCGGTCACTAAAAATGATTTCCCAAACAAGATTTTTACCAAAAAAATTAGGGTTGGGATAAAAACAAACAGAAAATACTCCAAAATGTTAACAATGTTCCTATGGGAAGTGGGATTGTGGGTGATTTTTACTTCCTCATTTTCTGTATTATCATGTGCAGTTCACAATCAGAAAAAAAACTTAAATGCTATTAAAAACATGAAATCATGTGATCGTCATCTATTAAAAAAAAAGGCAACTATCCGTTTGAAGTCTTCAGTCTTCTGATTGGCCGCACTTAATGATAATCCCACAACCTTTGGACACAAGACTCTCGCCCCAAGTTCACATCCCTCTTACCCACAACAGCTTTGCTCACCAAGTCTTCAGAAGCGACAGTATCGGGAAGGGAAGTCAGGACATGATAGGAGAGGAATCAAACTCTCTCTTAGGTCTTA